CTAGGGATTTGCTGCGGGAGAGCGACGTGGAAGCGGTTGTGAATGAGATCCGACAGAAGTGCGTTCAACAATCGGAATCATTTCGGCAAGCCTTCATAAGCGTGAGCAATGATTTGGATCAAACTTACACTGAAAGTGAGAACAGGATTGGCAATTCGAGTAATTCAGACCGACTTGATAGGTCCAACTTTGTTAACCTGGATGAGAGATTGAGATCAGTGGAGAGTGTGCTCGAGAGAGTGGATATGAAGATGGGACAGATACTCACTTTTTATCAAGAATTCCAGTCAAGGTTGAGCGACTTCATGTCTAAAGTGGACAGGAAGATTCAGTATCCTAAATCGCTTCAGGAGGCGAGAACTCCCAAGAGACCTTACGTGACAAACGAAGTTGGTCTTCTCTATATGATAAGTGCATTTCTGCATGCCGGGACAACCATTCGCTTACACTTGATGTGTGAGTCGCCGACTAGGGTTCACAAAGTCAAAGGTCAAGAAGGTTTGAACATACGCTTGGATAAGGAGAATCTCACGTGGCTTCGAAAAACTATTGAAATCTCATGCAAACTAGTGTATTACGCTGTGAAGGCAGGACTGGAAAGGACCCTCAATTTGAGCTCAATGATTCCGGACTGGAAAGATTTAGAATTAGATATTGTTAAACTAGACAGCATTAGCGATCGTGATCGTAGGGCAGTTCTAAAAGGTGGGGAAAGCATGGAGCTAAAAGAAGCATGGCTGAGGATTCAGCAAACTCTTGCGCCTCAGCTTCGAGATCGCTATTCGGCAAAATTCAAGTTGTATCAGGTGAAATACGTGAGTTTTGGGCATGCATGGGTGTGCGATGAGTGCATGCATAAAGGTCTTAGTTCTGGCATTTTGACATATTAGGAATTTGAAGGGATTAGAATGTCACTATGCAATTTACAAGCATATGTTTAGACCCTCATGCAATTTGAACCTCTGCAACATCTTCCTTAAAGTTTTCACTTGTAAAAGTCTTTCATAATCTTTGCAATCATGTTAATGGCGCAGTTATGTTTCTAAAGAAGATAAGTTTTGGCTACCTATCAAAATTACATGTTGAGGACAAAGTTCTCAGTGCGGCTTGTTGCAAGTCTCACCCTGTTGAAATCCCTTCAATTAAACGTTGGGTTGTCAGCTTTGAATTTTGATACAAATCCTTGAATGATTGTTCTGAATGATAAGGGTTCAACAACTGTAGAATTGACAGGAATAAAGATCAGATTATGTTATTTTTGTACAGTTGGTAGCCTTGTTTAAACACTAGTGAACACTGCATGTTCAGACCGCATGCAGTGTTTAAGATGTGCTGGAGTCTGCTTTCCTCATCTGGCCTTTGTAACACTCGATGTGCACTCTTCGAGCGGCAGGCTCTTGAAGAGACAAATACGGTTGTGCAAACCTCTTGAGTCAAATGACTAGCATGTGATTAGAGAGACAACGTAGATTTACGCTGAGGATGTTGCGGAGTCTGTGAAAAAGAGGGTCAAGTTGTAAGAATCCGAATGACTTCTTAGATACGTGACTGCAGCTAGGTAGCTTTTTGCGCTCCATCTGTAATCTATGATGAACCTTACTCTGAACTGGATGGTCCAAATAATTCATGAGACAATCAAAACATATTATTTTCTTTTTTACCAACTGTTGTCAAGAGTAATTTAATGGCAGCTTGGTTGTCTTCTGCAAATTCTCTGAGCAAGGCAGTTCATTAAGAGGGATTGATCTCAAGGCTGTGGTAGAAGAAATCTATGAGTTCTTAGATGTGCTAACACTGAGATCAGGTATGGGATAGTCTTCCACAAAACGCTTTTTGGGACATTTTGCTCGCTGATAATGGAAATTCATGCAATGGGCGTGCCTTGTTAAGTGGTGCAGATCTGCTTAAACAGCAGCAGGCCTGTTTTTAGTGGCAAGATTGATGATGTGGTGAGATTTGAACTGGTTAATGGTAAATCCCCAATCAATAAATTTCATACTGAGGGATTCTTATAAAAAATATATTGAGTAAGTTTTCCAGGTCTAACACCGAGAAATTGAACGAAAAAACTTGGAGGTCAACATCAAATGGTACACAATGGAGTCATGTTAACACTAACGTTTTCATTTTCACGATGTATACATGTTCTATTATATTAGAGAAAATTCATAATACATTTAGATATGATGGTTAGAGATCAACTTTCAGCCGGTGAAGATATCTCTGAATTTCATCAATCTTTAGGAAATAGCAAAGAAGATCCATGAGTGACGCGCTTTTGTGGACTCTGCTTCATCTCAGTTAGATATTATGCTCTCTGTCTAACAGACTTGGCGTCTAGAGAATTTTCCAGTTATTACTTTGACAGCTGAACGAAGCTCAGGGGATCTGAGCACACATGCCGGTTCACAAACGAAAGCTCGGACGGTTCGCTTTTGATAAGCTGACTTTTGAAGTGGGCTCCACTCCCACTGAGATGGCCACGAAAGAACGATGCGGACTGCTTTTCCGGAATCTCATTGAGCCTGGTGTACCAGTAAGTGCTCCAGTCCTTGAGCTGAAGAATCTCGTGCCTGGCTACGTACTAGAGCGCGTTGAAATCTAGTATGTAGAAAAAAATATCCCGATCGATTGTGTGTCTGATCCTCGCCTGACGATCGCAGGAAGGGAAGGGGATGATATATGTTTTCTAGGCGCTACATATCGTAGGGTCTGTCTTCCCGTAGGTCTTCATGCAGCAAGGTTCTCCTTTTCCCGGTCCAATTGTACATGCAGTTTTACACAATCGCAGTGTACTCTGCGATGCGATGCATTCTATGCCAATGTACTTCCACATCACATCATCTTTGCTACAAAGTATTCTTTTTGATATCAGAATAAGCTGCACATCAAACACCTCTTTCCTTCTGAGCTCACAATAAATATTCGCTTCCGTGAGCTTCTCTTTGTACATGCTCTACGAATTTTCTTCAAACCAGAATCCTGATTCTCACCGCTATTTTTGATCCAGATCGCTTGCACTTCACTGTTTCTACTTTGCACAATCGTTTTGCGTTCAAAGTTATTTCTCTTTATCTGATTATCTATCATCACACCCTGATGATAGATAGACGTGTCCCAATCTGATTATGTGTAGCGCCCCATGCAGAGTGCATGTGCGCCCAGCACGCACATGCTATCACAATGCGACGGGAAGTCAAGTTATCTCCGGGAGAGGCGAGCTTGCGGATCGAGGACATGGACTCTTGTATGCCACCGCGCATGCCAAGCAGCGAACGTTTCTTCCTCTGTGAGAGTGGAGGAGAGAATGGAAGGTTGAGATGCGTCCATCGTCAGTGACGCAGCTGAGCTCGCGACACGTAGAATTGACTCCGAGACAAGGAACCGGAGCTTCCCTCCGCTGTCCAGGACCTTACATGGCGTCTGGAAGACAAAGTCGAGACTCTCAGGTAGCTTCCCACATTAAGCGGACCAGAATTTCGGAAGTGATTTCCGAGCGTGTTCTCGACCATCATAGAGTGCCGAATCCAAGTGCACCTTCGAGTGCTGGACGCAATCGGCAGCTGGAAGTGTGAAAAATGTGTGGCGGTGAATTTATCGTCCTTGAAGGCACGCGAGTGGGAGGTAGTTTTGAGCGGACTCAGGTCTAGCACCGTTCTACGAGAGATAATAGTTGAAGGTCGTACATGAAGTTGGAGTTCAGATGTGGAAGTGTAGAACTTGAGTTTACAGCTGGGGAGAATTCCGATTACCTCTAGCGTAACACCTGTAGTTCCTTTTCTAAGATGAATGTTAATACACACTGGTAAAAGCCATACTCGCCACGAAATGCAGGGGCGAAGTGCAGCGTAAATTATCAAAATATGGAACCTTCAGCTGCACGAAGTGGGAACTTTAGAAATCAAGACTCTCAAAAGTGACATAAATTCTGCTTTTGTTTTGCTTTGATGAGAGAAATCTTTATATCTGGACGAAGAGAATTGTTTCACGGAAATCCCTGAGACTGGATGAGCAGTTTTTGATCCAGGTCATCTACTATTGACACCAGCCTGATGATAATAAAGCTCGCATCTGCTAATCCAGAAATGAAAGACCATTTGTAAAAATGTTGATGTGATATCCTATATTTGTTCCGAATGTCTCGTCCCTGTCTCGATTCTTCCCATCTCTATCTTTCTACTTGAAGGTATCCGAGGAGTCTGAGAACGCTGCCTCCTCGAACATGCATAAAGAATCATCGGCATCCCAGCATTTCAGTTTCAGTAAGAATTTTCACTAAAGCCACCCCTGCCGGCCGTAAGCCCGGCGGGGGTGGCTTCCATATTTTCAGAAGAGTCAACGTTGCTTCTGGTGGAAATGGTAGTTTCTTTCTGATCTATTCATGCAACGGATCACTCTTAGAAGGATGCTGTTGATTACATTAGGCGATGTGACTGATCGACACTTCGATACACACACGAAGTATTATGATAGTCGATTTGTCATAATTATCCACTCGTGTTGATTCAAAGCCGATCCACACGAGTGGATTCTTCTCAGAATCTTGGTTGCGACTGGTGAACCCTCTCGTTCTTATCATTTACCAAGAATCTCAAATTAGCATTTTGAAGAGCGCTGGCCTGCTCCTCGTTGCTGTAATCTGAGATGTAACAATCTTACTCGGTGGGCTTCTACGACGAGTAGAAGAACATCGTATGGAGAATTACCCACTTTCACGTAAAAGCATCCTTTCTCCTACTTTCTATTCAAAGCATTTTCAGACTGGCAGGATGTTTTGGCTGGGTTGGGTTGATTTTACGTTTTAATGTGGATTAACTGCAGCAAAGATACCAAGTCAATTAAGGATGTCTCTCGAGATCAGGTCATTGGGTCGTTGATTAACGTCAAACTGTTGCGCACCAATGCGCACTTCCTAGCTTTGGCTTCGCCCAACTCCTACCTGAGAGTAGTGAGGGACATGCCATCAAGACGAGAGACCATGGAAAGATGCAGCCAGAAAAAACAGAAAATTGTTCACGGAATATCTCTATTAATTTTTCGCCTACCGTCCAAGGCTTCATAGAACATTCTCTGCATCAAGCTGTGAATAATCGCATGTTGAGTGCAACCCAGAAAAGTATTCTAGAGGGGATTCCAGAACGAAACAAAGATGTACGCCGATTACTTGTACTGAGCCAGTTTAGCATTTTAGCATACGGTGCTTTTCTAGTTTACGTGAAGTTCACAAGGCTTGAAATATGTCGCAGCAGTATCGTCAGCAGGGTTAATAATTCCAAGGCAAATAAGGATTATCGAAGGAATGCAAGATGGATCCGTACGTAGGATTTTCAAAATGTTTTCTGATTCTGGGATACTGATTGACCCTGCCTACCAATCTGGTGGCTTTCTGTGTAGTCTTCTTGCTGTGATGACTAGCCATCAACACAGCTCAGACAGTACGCTTCCTAAATGCGAGACAGAAAACTTCTCTTCTTGCAATTGTCGAATGCAGGGCTCTCTAGTTTTCGGTATGCCTGATTTTAATCACGTTGCGACTGGTGTCTCTACTTGTATATTCTCCTTCTATCAGTTCGTGAATTGAGATTTATGCTGAGATATAAACAAAGCCCTGATATCACACCCTCTACGCTCAACCGCTTGCTCGAGACCATCAATTGTAAATCTGGGGGTTCATAAAACGAACATGTATTCGAGAGTTACAAAGCCAAATGAATGAACTATGCTCTGATTGGTATGAAGCCCCAACGCACCGACAGTTTCCTTCAGTCTTGAAAGCTAATTCCTGTCGCGTAAGAAGGTACATGTCAAAGCTCACCCTCACAGGCCATACGATATGGTCTATCCAGCGATGTCTAATTGATTGCATGCTCACAAAACTAATAATCATTCACCAGCATAAGACATTGATACTTTATATCCTTAGTGATGATCGGTGAATCAAAGCCTAAGTGAAGTATTTTTGGGTTTTTCAAATACAGGTAATTTTGTATTTCGCAAATCAGAGCCTTGTTTCAACATCACCTCAATTGTAAAGCTTCCGATCGCGAAATGTAAATAAAGGATCCTGAAGCAGGAACACTTTCACAGTAACAGTCACTTCTATGTCTACCAGAATTTTCAATTGAGTGCTCGGAGATTGGTATGACAGCATTCTCAGTAAGAAATTACTTGACATCGCCTTACTAAACTTTAGGATTGACTTACAGTGATGGGCCGGAGCAATTCGCCACCACAATTCACAGCAAAGATAATATTGACGGCGATCCAAAATCGCTCATCGTTGCTCAGCATGCTGCAGCGTTGACATCTTCACTTCTCCGCGCATTTGGCTCCTGAAACTAAGCGAAGAAAGCCGAAAGCAAGAAGAGCGAGGGTTCGAATTGAAGACTAGAGAGAGGACGCGGGAAACACAAGATCTCTCTGATGCTCCGTCTCCATACCCAACACCTCTCGCTCAACTCTATCGACTTACTCAACAGTTCGTCCGCCCGAATAGTGTTCGTATGAAGGGACCCGCCCGTGCTCCATACCAGTGAAAGTCATACTCGCTCCGAATTTTAGGGGCGAAGTGGAGCGTAAAGAATGGATCAATGAAGGCTTCATGCATCATATGCGAGACGAAGCGGAAACTTAAGAAATCAAGACTCTCGAAACAGACAGAAATTCTTCTGTATTGTTCTGAAACATATCCTGTTTCGCTTAGACGAGAGAAATTCTTTCTATCTGGACGAAGAGAATGGTGTACATAAACTTCAGAATCTCAGAGACTGGATCAGCAGTTCTTGATTCAGGTCATCTACTATTGACTCGAGCCGTGATGATAATAAAGCTTGCATCCAGAAATATAGGGCCATTAGAAAAACTGTTGATGTGTTATCCAATATTTTGTTCCGAATGTCTCTTACCTTGTCTCGATGCTTCCCATCTTTATCTTTCTACTAGAAGGTATTTGAGGAGTCCGCATTGCTGCCCTCCTTGAACCTGTTGAACATGCAGAAAGAATCATCCACATCCCAGCATTTCAGTTCTAGTAAGCCATGTATCAGGTCATGGTTGACTCGCTGAGGTATATCTGTGAAAGACGCTGATAACATGCTTGTGCTGGCCCTGATCTCAACACAATGGTAAGCGCCAGCACGCTCAGAACTGTGACGTGTATAAATGCGGTATTTCGTAGCACGCATGCTTTTGCAGTTGGACTGCGTGTGGACGTTCAGTTACAAAGACTCTTCCAGCAATTTGACTTTAAGGTCGAGAATATTATATCAAAGAATGGAGAACATCGTCTGCTGAATATCAAAGTGAGCGCGATTCTCGTTCAACTCGACTCCGATATTGTGTACAGTATCATCACGCAGAATATTAATGATGTATCAGAAGCACGGTCATGAAGTGGACCAAGCTATCCTTGTGTAAGGATGATGATCATCAGCTGTAAATACTGTATCGAGCAGAGAGACAAGAGCTCATGGTCAATGGGATGACGAGGACGGAGATGGATATCGATCCTGGATTCGGTACATCACTCGAGATTATACATCTTCCAACTAAATCTCGGATATCTGCACGATCCGACCACAAGCATTGTTCAAGATGTGGACTTTCCTCACATGGCATTCGCAACACTCGTCGTGCATTCTAGCGGCAGGCTCTGGAAGAGACGAAACCAGCGGCACAGACATGCTGTGTCAGATTTTTGGCCTGTCATTGGAGAGACCCTGCAGTTTTGAGAGAGTTGTAGAGTTTGTGAGAAAAGATATAAGAATACGAATGACTTCTTAGATATGTGACTGCAGTTAGCTAGATTTGTCACGTTCAATTTGTCATCATTGTTTAATTTACTCTGAACTGGGTGGTCGAAACAATTTGTGAAACAATCATAACAATTACTCTGTTTTTTTTTTTGGAACAGTTGTCAGGATGTGAAAGAGACTAGTCTGTTGTAAATTCTATGCGCAAGGGAGTTTATTCAAAGAGTATTGATCTCAAAGCTGCAGTAGAATAAGTCCGTAAGTTATTACATGTGCTAACGCTCATATCAGTTACTGGAAAGTCTTCCTTAGAACATATTTAGAGACAATTTGCTCCGTGATTCTCGGAGATTCCTTGGATCCGGCGTGCCTGGCAAGGTGGTGAATATTTGCAGACTCCGGTATTAGAAATGTGCATGCGCTCGCATGCTTGACAGCTGAGGTAAGAGAACAATCATTCCAGCACTTGAGAACCTCGAATATTCCTATACTCTGTACAAAGTTATTTGACATTATGTCTAGTGAACCCCCATAAAGTTCATCGGTTTGTCCTGAACCCACGAGATATGCAGAGTAATGTAGACTCCTGTACCGATCTTCAAAGCCAGGAAAAAGCACAACATGCTCTGTCCTTCGAGCTGATTTCCCATGTGCCACTCAGTTGTCAGAGTACATCCACTTGATTGAATATATCAAAGATTCCAGGAAGAAGGATTGAATGAAGATGACGATTGAAACTCTGTAGTCACCGCGACCACATCGAGTGTATCAGTAGACTGATGCCTTCACTCAAGTATGTTATTCGCTAGCACAACAAAGTCAAGATTTACTCTGATTTTTTAAAAACATTGCCCTATCGCGCGTGTGAATGGAGGAACACGCTTAATATGTTTGCATGTTGTAGTCACCTCCATAGCCAACATGTTTGTGCACACTTTAGTGCAAGAATCTCAACATGATTGCAGTCAACTTGTTTACCATTTCAGCTTCATCGTATAAAGTCAGAGTACAATTATCGATGGGTTGAAGATCTTCCATCTAGTCAGGTTACTCATTGTTCCAAATTGGTACAGTAACGTCCAGTTTAAGTAGGCATACCGGGTAAGTGTGCATAATTTTTTCCAAAAATGAGCATCAAAATTTATTCTATTTGAAAATCATATATTTTCAAGAAACATTAAGAGGAAGTCTGAAGTTTTTTGCATCACCTTTTGCAACAATCATCGCATAGTGATTGATTTAGTCTAAGTTGATAACCTATATACAATACCTTTTGTCTTGGCCGATGGCAGAATAGAAAAACTGGCACTACAAATGCCATCAATCTAAATATAACGCGTTTCAAACTCAATAAAACAATAAACCGTATTGAAAAATATTCTATTTAGTTTCACTAGAAATTAAATCTTGTTTCTTTTGGATTTGCTCCCTCTTGTCTCAAACATTTTTTATAGCTGCTTCATTAATATCCTCCTCGCAAGTTAGAGAGTTTTACTGGAAATATCGATGCTTCCGGTAAAAGGGAGGATATGTGTTGCTCTACTTATATCATATCATCACTCATTTAGAAGTTTACTTTTTGTTTTCTTTGAATTTACAATCTAATCAAAATATCAAGAAGTGAGTCCACTCATTATAAGTTGTTTCATAATAAACTTGAAGATTTGCTTAGGTAGTTTCTGTATAATTTTTATCATTTTTTTAAACCTTGAAAGATCTCTGAAAAATATTTATGAATCTCTCATAAATTCACAAATTATTGTTGATAAATTTTTCCTATGACTCAGCTGAAGAGAGGAGAAATGAACATCGATAGTTATTCGTTCATCGTAACGAATATGGGATTATCTATATATATATATATTTTTTCCAGTATAAAATGTAAATAGAGCTAATTTAGATCCAGGTTCTCCTAGCCATTGTCCGACAATTTCGACAACTTCTCCTCTTTCTATTAAGAAATAATTCGCGTAAGTAAGCAGCTACCGTATAAAGTACTCCTAATCCTTCCAGGATAAAAGTGCGTACTTAGCCCGGAGACTACCGTACATACTTTGGATTCAACTTTCTAAGTTGGAAAAAGTGTTCATCTTCATGTTCTCTATCATTTCAGGCATTATGTTAGCACATGGGATGGCTTAAGGAGGTGCTTTGTGACCTTCATCTGAAGCCTATAATTCTTCGACTGTCGACATCTGAAGAGCCATCGTTAGCTCCTGTTCTACTCTTTGGAGGGATTTTCTAAACCCTTCGACACCTGGACTCCCTCGTTCTCGAAAATCATGCATTCGGCTACTAGTGGTGACGTTCTCACTTTCCACGTAGAACTGATCCTCAACAGGCTCTTTGATAGATACTTCATATGGTGTTTATACCTCAGGTGTGTTAGGTGAGAAATGTCATTGTCTGTTTATGTGCCACCTGTTCAATCACCACATACTACTGATCAAACATGGAATTATAGGTAATGGAATGTTATGTTCTATTACCTAGAAATCCATGTCTGATCAGAGCTTAGATGTTGACAAGGAAGAAATCTAAATTCTCCATGTCCAAAGTTTTCCTCTCATCGCTCCTCAAAATGCTCTCCTCGATTGACCTTCAATCATAAGTTTAATTATAGGCTCACTAACCTCTCGACCTTGTGCTTACTAACGATAGTCGATTGCTAGAAAAACTAGTCGATTCAAGATGAACACCACTTTGGATATGGAAATGTCTCGAAGTTATTCCACCTTGCTCTTGTTCCATCTTTTTCAAATTAACACTGTCTGCACTCCCTTGGCCAAAAACAAAGTATGTGTATAAATGACTATTAAGCTTCGAGGAAGGACTGCCCACTTTAGTATTTTTTTGAAAAGTCACCCATCACCATCACCCATCAGGAGTTCAACCACACTGATTTCATTGTAGACAAGGGCCCCGCGCTGAGAATGTGAAATGGGAAACATACAGGTCTTTCGACAGGGCCGGGTCTGTTGTGCTTTCCTGGGAACCTTCCCCGGCAGATGATCCTGAAAGGCCTTGCAGGTAAAAGTTGGTATCGTTTAGGTGAACTTCTTGCTAGCAATTGCACGAAAGTATAACTGGACCAGGATCATATGTGCAAGAGAATTTACTGACTCCTGGTTGTTTCAGAAAATGTAGCTAGTTTTTTATAGTAAAAAATATGGTCGTATGCCATGCTGTCTAACCAGTGTCCATTTCACTTTTTGTTTTTTAGGCAAGCAAGGGTGAATCTAAACTACCCAAATCAGACAAAAACATCGGAAATGATTAACTCAAGGAGGAACAAATCCACCGTTTTAGTGACTGGGTCTTGTGGACTATTTGGCCACAACAGGGATAGTCCAGGGGACGAATTGACACCCGTCAGGGTCCGAAACCGTGTGGAAAAATAGGGTTCATAGACCATTTGAGTTTATGAAGTTCCGATTTGAGAACGCTGAAGTCCTCAGACTGTGACTCAGTACTTGTGCAGGAGTCACCACAACTCTGAATACTAGTCCATGACTTGATATCGACTGTGACTCGTTCCTGGATTCTTTTTCATCGCGGGCATCTCCGACCTCCACGTGACTCATGGCGGTACAGTTATTTTTACACTAAATAGTCACTGGAATCTTGAGGATGCTGTACCGAAAATTCTTCTCTCGATGTAGCAACGAGACAAGTTTTGAGATTGAATTCTATCCAACTCACCAGCGTCAAAGCGCTGTAATTGTACCCACATGGTGAATAATTTTTTTCCAAAGACCCGTAAGCTGCATTCCAGAGGAGCAAGCATCAAGACAGCAGTCAGTCAGGGTCTGCTTTAGAGTTGCTGGTGGAACAGAGTTTGGCGATTGTACGTGTTTCAGAGCATTCAGAACAAACCATATTAAATCAACCCTCAATATAGTACTTGTGCTCATCTCTGCAATTCTGATTACTTTTTATTGTTCTCCTACCAGCAATTTGATAATTCTCCCCCTAAAATATAGCCGGACAGGATACTTTATAATTCCCCGATAGACCTGAAATGCAATCTGGTAGACGCTCATGCTCTGTGGAGGATTGTGTACGATTTGCAGAAGATGACAACAAACTGAATACTTTAATTCTGAAAACTTGGTTCGCACGCATGCGCGTCGGTTGGACTAAAGAAACCCCAAACGGCATATACAGAATTCTGAGTCCAACGTTACTGTCGTGGGAATCAGATCCCGAATCCGAAGGATCAAGACGAAGGAGGATTACATATTCAAAAGACCTGAGGGTAGGATAGCATTGCGCGTGCAAAAAGAAGAGAAAGTGGCGTGATTCTTATCTACTCTTGTTTGCTTGTTCGAAAAGAAAATGGCCTAATTCTAATTGATTATGCAATCAAGTCAGTGTCCTGTGCATTGTACTTGTTATATAAGGTCCCACACAGAGTATCAAAGTTAGCCAGCCCAACATCTTCACTTTCTTAGGGAGAGTGAACAATTATACGAGCAGGTGAGAACCTCGAGTAGTCGTATACGCTGTACACAGTTATTTGACATATTTTTTAGTCCACTCCCAAAAAGTTGATTTGTTTGATCTGAACCTACGAGTATAGAGTAATGTAGAATACTGTGCCGATCCTCAAAGAAAGAAAAAAGTATAACAGGATTTGTCCTCCGAGTTGACTACCCATGTGCCACTCAGTTGTCAGAATACATCCACTTGCTTGCGTGACGACAGCGAGTGTATCAGCACATTAAATCATTGACTCACATACCCTGTTCACTTGCACAACAAAGTCAAGATTTATCCTGACCGTCTAAGAACATTTTCCAATGGACTATTTGGCCACAACAGGGATAGTCCAGGAACAACCTGACACAGGATATGGTGTGCATCCGTATGAAAAATAAGGTTCATGGACACTTCGAAACAGTGGCGATCATTCCACAAGATTTAGAAAGTTTTGATTCGAGAACGCCGATGCCGAGGTCCTCCGACTTGTGCAAGTGGCT